GACCCTCCCTCCCCACACACCCTTCTGTCAACTGCTCCCTCCACATCGGACAACAAAACGTCCGCTGCCTCTGTAACAAGGCCCTGGTCATCAACGATCTCATCCTTGATGAGAGCATTGACATCATGGCCTTAACGGAAACCTGGTTCACCCCAGGCGACACCTTCCCCCTCACGGAGGCCACACCACCCGGCTACACCTCCCATCACATCCCTCGCCCCAACCGCCGTGGCGGTGATGTAGCCCTTATCTCAAGGACACCACTTGCCCTATCCCCCTACTCCTCTGGCTCGTTCCCCTCTTTCGAGCACCTCACCCTCTCTCACCCCTCCTTCCTCTCACTCAAAATCCTCCTCCTCTACCGGCCCCCTATAACCTCTCCCACCTTCATCTCCGATATTTCGACACTTCTTACATCTCTCTGCCTCTGCTCTGATCGCCTTATCATCCTGGGCGACTTCAACCAGCACTTCACCCCCTCCTGCTCCATCTCCTCAGACTTCTCTTCCCTGCTCTCCTCGCTCAACCTCTCCCTCCACATCAACTCCCCCATTCACAGTCACGGCCACCCACTCGACTTGGTGGAGTCCTGTAGCTCAGTGGTTAGAGCACTCGCTTTGCAAGTGAGAGACCTGAGTTCAATTCCAGGCAGAGGGCGAAGCCTTGGGCAAGTTTCCTTACTCCACACAGAGCCTAATAATAATCCCTCCAAAACCAAAAACAATAATAAATTGGTCATTTTCAATCTACGACTGTTTGTGGGACATTGCTGTGCGCAATTGGCTGCCGTGTTCGCCCACAAATATCCAGTCAATTCACTTTACAGTATATTCTGTGAAGCGCTTTGGGACGTCCTCCCGACGTGAAAAGCGCTATATCAAATGCAAGGATTATTATTATTATTATTATTATTATTATATCACCCGGGGCCTTGGTGTCTCGGATGTCACTATCACCGACAAGGCCGTCTCCGATCACCACTTCATCTCCTTCACCACCTCCACCCCCCTCCCCACCTCCACCAGACCCACCACCATCTTCTACCGCCCCTGGAAGAAGTTACCCCCACAATCCCTAACCGCTGCCTTGGAGTCCTCTGAACTCCTCTCCCTCTGGCCTTCAACCCTCACTGACCCCTCTTCTCCTCTCACCCTCCTCCACAACACTCTCTCCTCCACACTCGATACTCTTGCCCCCATCACCTCCCATACTGTCTCCTACTCTCGCTCCTCCCCCTGGTTCACCACCCACCTCTGCTCACTGAAGAGCCAGGTGTGGGCCAGCTGAACGCACCTGCGTCAAATCTGGCTGGACCTCCTCAAAATCTACCGCTCCACTCTAGCCTCGGCCAAGTCATCCTTCTACTCCAGGATAATCCTGGAGACGAAGAACAACCCCAGGCTACTGTTTTCTACCACATCCCGACTCCTCCGTCCCCCCCGCCACCCCGCACAGGTCATCTCCTCCAACCTTCACTGTGAGGAGATGCTGGATTTCCTTGAATCCAAAATCAAGGGAATCCGTTCCGCGGTCACTGCCCCTCCAACTTCCACCCACCCCCCACCTCTTCCCTCCCACACTCCGACTCCTACCCATCCTCCCCTACACACTTTCGTACCCGTTTCCCCACCCTCTGTCACCAAACTCATCCTATCCCTGAAACCCACCACCTGCTCCCTTGACCCCATCCCCACTCCACTCCTTATCTCTCAGCTCCACCTCCTTGCCCCACATATCACAGACATCGTCAACCTGTCCCTCTCCTCTGGCTCTGTTCCCATTCCCTTAAAAACTGCCACCATCACTCCCACCTTGAAAAAACCCTCCCTTGATGCGTCGCAGCTATCAAGCTACCGGCCCATCTCCAACCTCCCCTTCCTGTCCAAGGTCCTTGAAAGAGTTGTCGCCTCCCAGCTGCGCTCTTTCCTCTCCACCCATTCATTATTCGAACCCCTTCAGTCGGGTTTCCGTGCTGCCCATAGCACAGAAACTGCCCTGGTCAAGGTCACCAATGACATCCTGACCATCTGTGACCAGGGCTCCCTCTGCCTCCTCGTCCTCCTCGACCTATCGGCAGCATTCGATACGGTCGACCACGCTATCCTCCTCCACCGCTTGTCCTCCCACCTCAACCTTCAAGGCCCTGTCCTTGAGTGGTTTAGGTCGTACCTCTCTCACCGTCTTCACTTTGTTTCCACGAATGGCTTCTCCTCCACCCCCCGCACTGTCTCATGTGGTGTCCCTCAGGGCTCTGTCCTCGGTCCCCTCCTCTTCACCCTCTATATGCTCCCCCTCGGTGACATCATCCGCAGACATGGGGTTAACTTCCACATGTATGCGGATGACACCCAACTCTACCTTTCCTCCTCTACTCTCAACTCCACGACCACCGATGTCCTGACAGCTGCCTGTCCGACATCGAGTCCTGGACGAGAGACAACTTTCTTCAGCTCAACGTGCGAAAAACTGAGGCCCTCCTGATTGGCTCACGTCAGCGCCTCCGCACCTCAGGCGCTGACACCATCAGCATCCAAGGCTGCACTCTCCACCTCTCAAAGCCAGTCAGGAACCTCGGTGTTCTGTTCGACCCTGAGCTGTCCTTTCTCCCTCATATCCGCGCCACAACTGGCACCGCCTTCCATCACCTCCGGAACATCGCCAGACTACGGCACTACCTCACCCCTCACGCTGCTGAAACCTGGTCCACGCCTTTATCACCTCAAGGCTGGACTATGGGAACTCTCTCCTCGCCGGCCTTCCCGCCACCTCCCTCCACAAGCTGCAGGTCATTCAGAACTCTGCAGCTCGTGTACTGTCCCGCACCAGGCTTCGGGACCACATCACTCCCACCCTCGCTCGCCTCCACTGGCTCCCCATCCCCCAGAGGATTGAATTCAAGATCCTCATCCTCACCTACAAGGCCATTCACGGCCTTGCTCCCTCCTACCTCTCCGACCTACTATCCCCCTACCTACCTGCCCGTACCCTCCGTTCCTCTGGCTCCGGTCTGCTCCACATCCCCCGCCCCAACCGCCCTACCATCGGTGGTCGGGCCTTCAGCCTCTCAGCCCCCAGGCTCTGGAACTCCATCCCCCAGTGCCTTCGCCGCCTCCTCCCTTTCCTCCTTCAAGGCCGGTCTCAAGACCTTTCTCTTTGACCGTGCCTTCAGCTCCCCTCTCGACTCTCTACCCCCCTCCTTGCTCCTTCCCTCCCCTCACCCTGACCATTTCCCCCCCAATGCTCGGGTCCTGACCCAACTGTACAGCGCCTTGGGACGTCCTCCCGACGTGAAAGGCGCTCTATAAATGGAATCCTGTTGTTGTTGTTGTTGTTCCTCAGGGCTCTATCCTCGGTCCCCTCCTGTTCAACCCCTCTATGTGCTCCCCTTTGGTGACATCATCCGCAGACATATCTATCTGCCTCCAGGCCTCGATTCCACCACCGTTGATGTCCTGACAGACTGTCTGTCTGACATCAAGTACTGGATGAGAGCCAACTTTCTACAGCTGAATGTCAGCAAGACTGAGGCTCTCGTGATTGGCTCACCCCAGCACCTCCGCACCTCAGGCACTGGCAGCAGCAGCATCCATGGATGCGCACTCCATCTCACCAAGCCAGTCAGGAACCTGGGCATCTTGTTTGACCCTCAACAGTCCTTTCCGCCCCATATCCGTGCCATGACCCGCTCTGCCTTCCCCCACCTCCGCAACAATGCCTGAGTCTGCCACTGTCTCACCCCTCAGGCCGCTGAAACCCTCATACACTCATTCGTCACCTCAAGGCTCAATTATGCACCAGGCTCCGTGAGCCCATCACCCCCACTCTCGCCCGGCTCCATTGGCTCCCCATCCCTCAGTGGATAGAATTCAAAATCCTCGGCCTCACTTGCAAAGGCCCTCCATGGCCTCGCCCCCTCCTACCTCTCTGACCTGCTGACTCCCTACCAACCTGCCCGCTCCCTCCGTCCATCAGGCTCCAGCCTGCTACGTGCTTCCCACCCGACCCGCCCTACCATCGGCTGCCGGGCTTTCAGCCTCTCTGCCCCCACGCTCTGGAACTCCATCCTACAGTCCCTTCGCCTCACTTCCTCCCTTACCTCCTTCAAGGTACGACTCCAGACCCTCCTTTTCGACCACGCCTTCAGCCGCCCTCCCACCCCCTCTGCCCTCCCTCATCCCAACCCTGGCACTGCCCTCCCACCCCCCCACCCACGCTCAGGTCCTGATACCCGGACCGCTCGGCGCCTCGCGAACGTCCTCCCGACGTGAAAAGCGCTTTACAAACATCATCGCTTTGCAAGCGAGAGACCTGAGTTCAATTCCAGGCAGGTCCGGGCGAAACCTTGGGCAAGTTTCCTTACTCCACACAGAACCTAATAATAATCGCTCCAAAACCCAAAAACAATAATGAATCGGTCATTTTCAATCTACGACTGTTTGTGGGACATTGCTGTGCGCAATTGGCTGCCGCGTTCGCCCACAAATATACAGTCAATTCACTTTACAGTGTGTTCCGTGAAGCGCTTTGGGACGTCCTCCCGACGTGAAAAGCGCTATATCAAATGCAAGGATTATTATTATTATTAGCATCTTGTTGTTGTTGTTGTTGTTGTTGTTGTTGTTGATGTTGCTGTTGACGTGGCGAGTTTCGGTCCATCCCTAAACTTGCCATCCCAGTCCCAGTGGGTCAGGGCTGAATCCCCCCCCCACCCCCCCCACCCCGGAGGCGGTCGGGCGTTGTGTTTTCATCACATGGCGTGAAAAGCACTGCTCTGGGGTTTCGTGAAAACTTTTTTTTTAAAAAATCTTTTTTTTCTCTCTCTCTCTCTCTCGTCTGCAGAGTCTGCGTGCAAACTGCAACCACAAAGCCCCAGCCACGGCATTCCCGGGAATGTGCAGCATCCAAGCCAGGTCTGGCTTTGCACATGTCCTCCCCCTCCATCCCTCCTCCATCCCCCTCCCCTCCCTCTCCCGCTCTGCCTCTTCGAGGAGGGATTGGACCATCCGCGAGACCGACCTGGACAGCAAAATCCTCGCAGACCCATCCGAGGGCTTTCGAGAGGAGCCGCTGTGTGTTCCCCGAGGATTTTTCGGATCGTTTTGCACCGGGAGCTGCGAGCCATGGCGACTGGGAGCAAGTGGACGGACCAGGGGAGCTTCGGGGGCCAATGCAACGGGTCCAAAACCCCTCACTCGGACCCAGTGCTGCAATACAACTACGAGATGCACGTGAAAATGAGTAAGAAGATCGCGCAGTTAACGAAGGTAAATGGGGATGGTGATCCTCCCCAGAGCTTTGCAGATCTGTCCACCACACATGCAAAACGCCATCCACACACTGGGGGGTGGGATGGGGGGGTGGTGGGGGTGGGGGGTGGGAGGGGGGAATATAAAAATCATGCATTGTAAAATGTTACAGCGTTTATTATCTCGTTTAACCAGTCCCCCACCCCCCCACCCCCCCAAAAAAAATCTTGTTTTCTTACAGCTCCTTGTGTTTGTCAACAGTGCAAACTTCTGGATAAACGTGGATTTTGCAAAGTGTAATACTAACAACAACAACAAAAAAAAACCCCCCACACACAGGCAACAGAAGTACAACGTGTGCGGTTTAGATTGATTTACAGGAAGTTCTGCTGTTCCATAGCTCTGAATTGGGAAGGAAAGCAATACTTGTTTCGTTGCTTCTTTTCCAAACGATCATCCTCTCTGTACTCCACACAGCCATTCCGGGATTGTATGGGGATTTTGACAGGGGATCTTACCACAGCTGAGATAAAACAGAAATGTCAGATCAAAGCATCGTAGAAAATAAAACACAGAGCCATTGGTTGTGTCCAGCTGATGAAACAGTGACACGCAGCTCGCAACCTTTCAGTTTCCATTGAGAAGCAAGAAGGGACTATTGAGGAAAAGCTATTCCCAGGAGCAAGGAATGCGATCATGTTCCTCCACGCTGGCCGTGGAGACAAACACGAGACAGCTGAGTTGCTCAAAACAAAATCTGTTTTAGCGCCACGATTGCTGAATGGTTCACATTTCGGCTGCAGGTTCCTGACATCTTGGAGCATAACATACACTGGTGGCATCTCGGCTATTAGTGCTGGTAATGTTTAACAAACCGCTTGTTCTTTTCACGCCTCGGAGTTTCATGTCGTGCTAGACGTGTACAGCGTGGAAATCAACATGAGTTTAACAATCAGGAAAGTAACTTGATTTGATCTCGTTAGAAATTATAGGGTGATTGAGAAAAAAAAACTATTCACTGTGTTATCCAGGGAGAGAGAAATATTTGTTTTAATTAATATGTGTGCATATATATTGTGTGTCAAAATATACAGAAACGCTTGCTTTCTATTAACCACTTTGACCTAATTGAGTTGTGGTGGTTCATAGAATAGTAGAATCTTACAGCACAGGAGGAAGCCGTTTGGCCCACAGTGCCTTCGAAAGAGCTACCGACTAGTCCCGCTCACCTGCTCTTACCCTATAGCCCTATAATTGTTTCCTTTTCAAGTACATATCCGATTCCCTTTTAGTACACATAAGTACGAAAATACATCTGCCTTCAAAGATAAGGAAACAAAGGCTGAGAGAAACCCATCAAGATTTCTCCTTTCACAAACTATCATGACACTGTTTAACATTCACTGTTTAAGCTCATGAATCCTGAATGTATTGCCTGCTCTCTTAATAGAGTCCGAGACTGTCTAGACCAATGGTAATGATACCAACTCTTAAAATATACAAGTAACTTTATATTCAAATATTGCTGAACATTAATGCTTAAAAATATTCATTAGCTAAATTAGGCACATAACTTTAATTAGTACGTATTTATAACTGAACATCTAGAAACCAACATATCTCGATCACTGATCTTACTCAGAATGTGGTAGGTACATAAATTGCAAAATTGACACTGAGAGCTAGTGCATTGATTATGTGTATTTGTTGGCAAACCCAACAGTCAGTTTATGCACATTAAGGTCCCACAAACTGCCATTAAATGAATTACCATTTACTCTGGAGGATTGTTGGCTGGGATATCACAAGAAACATCCTTCACTTTCTGAATATTGCCATGTAATTTCCAAATTTGCAGATGACACTAAGCTAGTAAAAGTAATAAACAGTGAGGAGGATAGGCAGAATGGTAAAATGGGCAGCCACGTGGCAGATGAAGTTTAATGTGGAGAAATGCGAGGTGTTGCATTTTAGGAGGAAGAATGAGGAGAGGCAATATAAGCTGATGGTGCAATTGTAAAGGGGGTGAAGGAGCAGAGAGACCTGGGGATTCATATAAGTAAATCTTTGAAGGTGGCAGGACAGGTAGATAAAGCTGTTAAAAAAGAATATGAGATAATAGGCTTTATAATGAATTTCTATGGAGTCCTGTGGTTCAGTAGTTAGAGCACTCAGCTCGTAAGCAAGAGACCTGTGTTCGATTCCCGGCAGGGCGAAACCTTGGGCAAGTTTCCTTACTACACACGCCTGATAATAATCCCTCAAGAAAAGAAATAATAAATCGGTCACTTCAATCCACGACTGTTTGTGGGACACTGCTGTGCACAATTGGCTGCCTCGTTTCGCCCACAAATATACAGTCAATTCATTTTACAGTATATCCTGTGAAGTGCTTTGAGACGTCTGAAAAGCGCTATATCAAATGCAAGTATTATTATTATTTATTATTATAAATAGGGGCATAGAATACAAAAGTCAGGAAGTGATGATGAACCTTAGACCTCAGCTAGAGTACTATGTTCAGTTCTGGGCACCACACTTCAGGAAGGATGTCAAGACATTGAAGAGATGCAAAGGAGATTTACCAGGATGATACCAGGAATGAGGGATTTCAGTTATCAGGAGAGGCTAGAGAAGCTGGGATTAACCAGAGAAGGTTAAGAAGAGGCTTAGTATAAGTTTTAAAAATTATGAAGGGATTTGATAGGGTGAAGAAAGGAGAAACTATTTCCACTGGTGGGTGAGTCAGCAACCCGAGGACACCGATTTAAAATAGTTGGTAAAAGAATCAGAGGGGAGGTGAGGAGAAATTTTTTCACGCAGTGAGTTGTTCGGATCTGGAAGCATTGCCTGAAAGGGTGGTGGAAGCCGATTCAATAACAACTTTTAAGAGAAAAGTAGATCATTATTTGGGGAGGACAAGTTTGCAGGGCTACAGGGAGAAAGCGGAGGAGTGGGATTGATTTGGATAGCTCTTTTCAAAGAGCTGGTACAGACACGATCGGCCGAATGGCGTCCTTCTGTGCTGTATAATTCTATGGTTCTATGTTAATCTTTAATGTCCAACTAAACAGGCAGACAAAAGCTCAGTTTAAGGTCTGACAATGCAGCATTCACCCAGTACTGCAATGGAGTATCAGCATAGACTGAACTCAAAGAACTCAAGTCAATGTGGAACTTGAACCGACAACCTCCTGATGAAGGCAATAATGTTACCAACTGAGTTTCTTGTCAAAATGTCCAGATTTACAGTACTGTACCAGTATTATTAACAGTTCATTAAACACTCCAAGACTCTGCCCCTGCTGAAGGGCACTGTGCAGATTGAAGTTGTTGTTGTTCATGATATGATTGACATTTGATTATATAATATCAGAAGAAAAAAGTGGGAAGAATTATTTTTATATTGAGGGTTGTCAGAATGTGAAATCCCTTACCGCAAATGGCTGTTTAGTACATAACAGCACTTTAAAGGGAATTGTAAAATAACATTAAAGCGTATGGGGAAAGAGCAGTGGAATAGAATTAGAGTACATAGCTCCAGTGGGGGAGCAAGCACCAGCACAAACACGATGAGCTGAATGGCCTCTCTCAGTGCTGTAAATGCTCAGTCATTCTCCCCCCACTTTTGAAACCCCCCACTTCCCTAACTCTCTGTTTGCCCCCTCTCCCCAGCCTCCCCACCCCCGTTTGAGGTTCTAGCAAGCTGTGTGAAGCACTTTGAGCTATCCTCCTAATGTGATAAGTGCAATAAACTGTAAACTGTTGCTATGGTAAGTTGTATTTTTGGAGACTTGTGTGCCATAGTCAGGACACTGGAGAAAGAAACTTGGTCTGGAACGCCAGACATGCCTCTGAAATGGAACCTTTCCCTCACGTGATGAGTGGGTGTATAGTTGCTGTCTGGAGCACTCTAATTTACCCCTCTGGCAGTACTGTAGTAGTAAAAATAGGTTACTGATAGGCAGCTGGACTCTCTTCTGCATCTTATGCTGGCATTTATGCACTCAATTGTTTTAAGTACAGTACAGTACTATGTACAAAAGGTGTGAAAAATCAGTTGCATCTGAGCTTCCACCACAACCATTTTGCAGGAACTGTCCCAGTTTGTGATTGTTCACCCTGGAAGCAATCTTATGGGGAATTAGAAACTGGATGGTGCTGGAAAATTTAAAGAGCTTCTGCATCGAATTGTGAATACAAATGTAGCAGAAAATCAACATCCAATTCTATATTAATATAGAATTGGATGTTGACTATAGTAATCCTAATTGATTTGTTAAATTTATCTAACAACATGCAAGCCCTGTTAATCTTTTGACTGCCTTGGGAGGAAAATAAATATTCTCTATTGCCTAAAAATAACAACTTTTTATTCTTATCAGTTAACAATCTGTAAGATGAATCCAAGCAATTTATGATATTGTTCAGATTTGGTAAGGATGTCAAGAAGGCTTAGAACAGTTTGTAATCCATTTTCATTCTGCTTAGACATAAGAGAGATAACAACCGGTTGTCATCTATTATATCTTTCACAAATATCTGTGCTTTCCTCTTCTTTCATTGCCAAACATTGGAGGCCAGAGAGAAAAGCATGGATACTTTCCAAATTTGAGGAAGCTTTTATTTGAATATATTCAGGTTCGGAGTCAGAAGATTGTGGGTTCAAGCACCATGTCAGTACATAGAACTCAAATAGCCTAGGCTGACACTACATTGCAGTGCTGGGCAGTGTTGCATTGGTGGAAGTGCCGCTTGGATGAAACATTAAATCAAGGTCCTGTCTGCCTGTTCAGATGGATGTCAAAGATTCCATATTCAAAAAAAAAGAAGAGAGCTTCTCCTAGTATAACTCATCAACAATCACTCAGATAAATGTTTGTGGGATATTGTTGTGTGGAAATTGGCTGCTGTGTTCCCTACATATACACAGTCACAACACTTTAGAGTAAATCCCATGAAGAGCTTTGAGACACTGCTATGAGACAACGTGAAAGACATAGTTTCTAATGCATGCA